GTAACTTCTGATCCAGTAGAGATATGAAGGTGGTTCCAGTGAGTGACTAGGGGTTAAATTGGCCGTAGATTCCATTTCTGACGTCCATTCATCCATATTTTGAGTCCTTCATTGATAAATAATAAAATTTTAAATTTTCCTCCCTTCATACACAGGAATAATGACCACACCGGCCTTTGAAAGGCTGCACTCTTGATGGCCGGGAGGATTCCTCCCAGCCATTGGTAGGCTACAACCTCGACGGTGTGGAAAGTAAGGCGCGCCCTCGGAGATTTCTTGTACTTCTCCGCTCCGCAACACGTCCTACTCCGATTTGTTGTCCGGGGTAACTTGCTTGATGGTCTTGTAGGTAGGTAAAATAACTCTCTTTTATTGATCTTTGGTAGGTAACACTCTAACTCTCTTCTATCTCTAACAATTCTTTAGGCTAATACACAATTCACTCCTAAGTCACTCTGTTTTTTCCAATATGTTCCGAGTCATAAGTCCCCCCTCCTCCTCCTCTCTTCTGCTCCAAACTCCACTCCTCCCAATTATCCCACGCTCAAGTTCCCTCCTGCTTCCCACGATGTCCTCCGCTGTCACTCCCTGGACTCCGCATGTCACCCCTCCAACGCCTGTCGGTCCAGGTACTCCTCCGGCCGCTCATGGACAGGTCTCCCACCGCCGCTTCCGCCTCTGGTCCACTCCGAAACCCACTTCCGCCCCTCGGTGCTCCCCGCTCCTTGTAGCCCCTCCGCAGTATACACTGAACCCCCGTTCCGCAGTCGGCCGTGAATCCCGGTGTGGTCATTATTCCTGTGTATGAAGGGAAAAAATTCAAAATTTTATTATTTATCAATGATGGACTCAAGATATGGACAAATGGACATCAGAAATGGAATCTACGGCCAATTTAACCCCTAGTCACTCACTGGAACCACCTTCATATCTCTACTGGATCAGAAGTTACGCAGAATCAAGGATGTCACATGGAGAATCACAGGATCAGAGGCACTCAGCTGGAGGGTATATTGCATATTGCAGATTGAATTCCTTTTATCCATATTGAATTCCTTTTATACTTACAGAACCACAAGTTGGCCACCAGTTGTATCAGTTAAATTCCCATTTATTCAGCCACAGAACACATGAATTCCTTTCTTACAGCTTGCATATAAAAGGGATGCATTGTAGATAGTCTAGCCAAAATCCCTGAGTATTTTCAGGTACAGGGCAGCTAAAATGCCTCATACAGGGGGTCCCTTGGGGCTAAAATCCCTCATAATTTACTATATAAGGAGGCCTCTGCCTGCCAGTTGTTTTCCTCCTCGTCCCACTCAGTACACATTTTTGGTGGGACACCTGTCACAGATATTTATTACACAAGAGGTTCACAAGTAGTACAGTTCACAGTTGAAATATATACACAGTTTCACAAACATTACACAGAAGAGCCAGTCCTTTGTTCCAGTCCTGGTTGAAGCATAGTGCTCCCAGACCCTTTGGGTTCAAGAACCACCTCTATTACATTAAACATATACAGCATCAAGGAAGAAAACAAGTATCAAGACATCAAAACAAGAAACAACATCAACAACTCAATCAATTCTTTGGACAACAAGATCAACCTTCAACAATTATACAACCATCTTTGAACATAATCCATTATCACCAACCAAACTGCCAAGCTTACCTTGGTGGTCTTGTTTTCTGATAATATAGAAAGGCAGAGTTTGCAGCTCATTTCATCCCTTTCTCCATTCAGCAAAAAGGATCTTACACTCACTTTTTGAGTCTTACACCGGTGTCCGCCAGTGCCCGGATTCCCCGCAGCAAGCTTTTCAGAACCTTGCGCATTCAGTCTACTTTTCCCCGCTTTCCCGTGCCTCAGAAAGCTAGACTTTCCACTAATGCACCGCCGCTTTCCTCAGCTTGTGTGCGTAGTGTCAGCTCCGCATGCTTTCCGCATCAGCCGCGAGCAGTCCACATGCCCCCAAACAAACCGGCCAAAGCTTTGGCCAGGGCGCGCTCTCACTGCCACAACGGCATGGAGAATTCCTCCTGGCGCTGTTGAGAGGTTACACTCTCAGCGGCCGAGAGAAAACCTCTCGGCCATCAAGAGTGTACACTCTCAATTGCTGAGGGGGTTTCTCTTGGCCGCCTAGAGGAAATCACTCTTGATGACCGAGAGGATTCCTCTTGGCCGCTGAGAGTGTAACCTCTCAACAGCG